GCAATCTTGGCTCCGGCATCGGTTGTGCCGTTCCCCCAACTGGGCTGCTGTCACTCGAGCTGGAACTCCCCCAGTCCACCTCGTCCTCCAGGTTAGGCGGTGCCATCGGTGGCTGCTCTGGGCTATCTCCTCTCATGGTTCTCTGCTCGGCCATTTCCCCACCGAAGCGGAGGTGGTTGGGCGCGCGGCTTTCCATAGACGGTTCCATCCCCCTCTGCGTGGTTTTTTGTCTGGACTTACCACTTGTGGCTCGCCCCCTTGTCTTCAGGCGTGCCTTGGCCTTTTTCTTCACCTTTGCGGGCGTCCTTGAGGAGCTTGGGTATCTGGCGCGGGTAGCGCATGATAAAGGCCCGCGTCTCGTCTGTGATGCGCGGCAAGTACTGATCCGTGATGCGGACCAGTTTGTCTGCCGCCTCACCGAGTTGGTGCCTTGTGGAGAGCCTCCCCGGTAGTTGTTGTAGGCCTCCTCATCGTCACTGCTTACTGGCTTCCCCCGTTCATCGCAAAGCTTCATGGTTTGGTCGTCGTAGTGCAGCGATCCACTTGTCCAGCGGGATGGAACAGCAGGTGCATCCCCCCTCGTGTCACATACTGCACCATGTGGTCAAAGCTTGCGTTGGCTGAGGTCGGTTTTGTCCGTTCCCCCCGTCCTGAGGGGCCGTTTGTACCTGCAGTTGTTTCCCCCTCTGCACTCTGTGGCGTCGTGTCCGAGGAGGCCGCCTTCTGCTGTGTTGGCTTTCCCCGAACCTTGGCCGAGTTCCTCAAGCTTGTAGTATGCCGTCCCCCCCCCTACTGGCGGGCCACCCCCGAAGCGGGCCGCGGTCAAGGGGTCCGGTAAGCGAGAAAACCCTGGGGCCTCTTAAGCAAAACAGCGGCAGATATAATGACTCAAAAGCAGCTCGCAAAACCGGGTCGGCTCCCCTGGAGGTACAGTCCAGCCGGCACAAGCCCCCAAGCAAAGGTGCAGCACTTGAGCCAAAATGGCTAAGAGTCTCTCTCTGTCTCTCTCTCTCTCTCTCTCTCTCTCTCTCTCTCTCTCTCTCTCTCTCTCTCTCTCTCTCGGGACGGTTAGGTCCCCCGGGCACAATGCCCACCCAACATCTCGTTGGGCACAGGGGAGTGAACAACGAGCATAAGTCGCCTGAAGGCTACAGCCATAAAAAGTACGATAACGAGTCTAGGCGACTGTATGCTCTCAAAGACACATGCATGTCAGGTTCCCCCGGTTCAGAACAACATAAAACACATATGCGAGGTATTCACACCTTTCGGGGTTTTACCTGCATGACAGTGCCACGGTTTGGCTGTGAATCATATATATATATATATATATATATATATATGGTACCCCCCCCCCCCAGGACCTACCTCCAAACCCGTCTGTCTACATATATGATACCACAGTTCATTACCCATGCACACACATGCACACACACACACACACACAAACACACACACGCCAGAGGCCCGGCTGCATTAAAACCTGCATTTAAAAATTAAATCTTAATGCAGCCCGGCCCGTGGAACCAAGAACCAAGAACCAAGATGCCCAGGAGTCTTGAATCTTGGATCTTGGTTCTGCGGGCACCGGCCGGGCTACATTAAAATCTGCGTTAAAAAATTAAATCTCAATGCAGCCCGGCCCGTGGAACCAAGAACCAAGATGCCCAGGAGTCTTGAATCTTGGATCTTGGTTCCGCGGGCACCGGCCGGGCTGCATTAAAATCTACAATTAAAAAATTAGATTAGGTTTTAATGCAGCCCGGCCCGTGGAACCAAGAACCAAGAACCAAGATGCCCAGGAGTCTTGAATCTTGGATCTTGGTTCTGCGGGCACCGGCCGGGCTACATTAAAATCTGCGTTAAAAAATTAAATCTCAATGCAGCCCGGCCCGTGGAACCAAGAACCAAGATGCCCAGGAGTCTTGAATCTTGGATCTTGGTTCCGCGGGCACCGGCCGGGCTGCATTAAAATCTACAATTAAAAAATTAGATTAGGTTTTAATGCAGCCCGGCCCGTGGAACCAAGAACCAAGAAGACCAGGAGTCTTGAATCTTGGATCTTGGTTCCACGGGCACCGGCCGGGCTGCATTAAAATCTGCATTAAAAAATTAAGTTTTAATGCAGCCAGGCCCGTGGAACCAAGATTCTGGATTCGAGACTCCTGGACATCTTGGTTCTTGGTTCCACGGGCCGGGCTGCATTAAAATCTAATTTTTTTAATGCAGATTTTAATGCAGCCCGGCCAGTGCCCGTGGAACCAAGATTCAGGATTCAAGACTCCTGGGCATCTTGGTTCTTGGTTCTTGGTTCCACGGGCCGGGCTGCATTAAAATCTCATTTTCTAATGCTGGTTTTAATGCAGCCAGGTCGCTGGAAACCATATAAATATTCACGAAACATATCAGTTTGCCATTTTATGCGCCACATGGCCACTCCTGCTGTGAAGATTAGCGAACGGATTGCTGTGCTCGACAGTATGATCGCATCTGTACTCCTAACTTCCCCCTATGCTTGTGATCATGTCGGCGCGCCCCTCCCTGGTAAACATTTAGGGCACCAGGTATTCTACAGCCTGTCAATATGCACCTCATAGAATATCTTATAGGATACTTCGTAGACTCCTGTATTAGAATACCCTATAGAATACTTTACAGATAGACGTTAAATATGGAACATCAGTCGGAGCCGAAGATTTGCGAATGTTCATCTGAGTTGCAGCTTATTGAGCAACGGGTTCCCATGATGGAAATCGGGAACCTACTTGTAAAAGAATATCCTTTAAAGTTCAGTTTGGATTAGTCCCTTATCCCTTCCAGAGTTTCATAGAAAATACTCAGGTCGTACCATATACAGTTTATGAAGTACATACTTTGTATATACCTTATGGACTACCCTGTAGCTCATAAAACACCGTATAGAAATCTGTCCTATATATACACCCTATAGAATACCTTTTATACGTTACAGATTGGGATACCCCATAAATACCCAATAGACTGCCCCATAGAATACCTTGCTTATCTCCTATACGCCCTATACAAGCCTTTTAGAATACCATCCGGTATACTTTACAGAATGTCTGAAAAAAACCCAATGAATGATACTCCCCTAATACCTTGTGTATGCCCCTGAGAATACAATATCGGGAACCTACTTGTAAAAGAATATCCTTTAAAGTTAGAGTTTCATAGAAAATACTCAGGTCGTACCGTATACAGTTTAGGAAGTATATACTTTGTATATACCTTATGGACTACCCTGTAGCTCATAAACACCGTATAGAAATCTGTCCTATATATACACACCTTATAGAATACCTTTTATACGTTACAATTTGGGATACCCCATAAATACCCAATGGACTGCCCCATAGAATACCTTGCTTATCTCCTATAAGCCCTATACAAGCCTTGTAGAATACCATCCGGTATGCTTTACAGAATGTTTTATAAAAACCCTATGAATGATACTCCCCTTATACCTTGTATATGCCCTTGAGAATCCCCTTTGGGATATCCGACAGAAACCGTATAGATCAGGATTTACCTAAGGTAAATCAGAAGGAGCCCAAGCTTTATGCAGCTTATTGAGCAAGGGACATCTATGAATGAAATGAAGAATAAAGGAGAACAGCCTGTAAAATACCTTACAGCATACCCTTTCTACAAACGGTAAATATACTCATGTAGAATACGTTAATACCTTATAAAATACTCTGTATTCCCTATACACCTTGTACGCCCAAGATCTGAAAGTTCCCCAGTTGAATGTGGTTTATTTGGCAAGGGATCCATATCAAGGAATTGCGGAACACAGGATCTAAAAATTCCTTGAAAAATCGATGCTTGTTTGGCAAAGGATACATACAGAGAACAAAGCTCTTTTGAAGCACATGCTGCACATACCCTATAGAATGCAACTTTTAAACTACCTTATAGCATGTTTTTATACAATTCCACCGATTTACCCTACATACACCTTATAGAATACCATCTGTAATACACTGTAGGATACTTTGAAGAAGAACGCCTCTATTTGATACATCCTGTATACCTTATGTATGCCATATAGAATACATATACGGTGCCATTTAGGATACCCTTTAGAATCCTTTATAGAAAACCTTAAAAAGTACCTTATAGGTACGGACTTTATGTATGGAAAGCCAGCCGGAGCCCAAGATCTGAGATTTTCCAGTTGACTTGCAGCTTTTGGGCAAGGGATTCCTATGAAGAGATCAGGAACCAAGAAGACCATCCCTACAACTACTTTATAAAGTACCCTCTCTATGCACCTGAATGAATTTCAAATAAAATACACTATAGAATACCTTCCTACATTATACGCCGCAGACTGCCTTTTGTACAATACCTTATGGAGCACGCTCTAGAACACCGTATAGAATGACCTATAGAATACCATCCTTACGGAAGACCGCCTATGGAGTATATCCTCTGTATACCTCAAATATCCTCAAATATACCTCATAGAATATCCTCTAGGATACCTTTTAAGATACGATTTAGAATACCTTATAGTATACCCTATAGATCACGGTTCAAAAAGGAACATCAGGAGGAGCGCGCTGTGAAATAGCGTAGCATACAGAGGACAGTAGACAATACTTCGTGGTATTGTCTTGGTTCGAACGGTGTAGTGTCGTCGTAGACAAGGTAGACTACGCAGTTTATAACAGATTTGTTCGGAGTGGAGTCGTAACGTCGTCTAGACAGTACAAGAAGAGGCTTCGAGGATCTTCGAGGTAGGTCCTGGGGGGGGGTAGCATATATATATATATATCTCTCTCTCTCTCTATCTCTCTCTGCAGCTGCATCCTCATTGTCGCTGGACATGAATGCGTCCAAGCATCAAGTCTTGTTCGGCCGAGAAGCCAAGCGGACCGTTTGAGCCCCAGAGACTCTGCGAATAAAGTTCTCAAGTCATGAAAAAGCTGCCTTCACGTGCACTCATGCTTCCAAATTGCAGACCGAGGCTCCCAAAGAAAAATATGCTACTGGAGACACATCCGCTGAGACCCACCATCATGATGCCGTTCAGTATGTGCGCCTGGGCACACCAGGCTTGCTATACAAAACAGGAAGGCTACGAGTAGCATGGTTCCCAGCGTCGACTGCTCCGCATGTCAGCTGAATAGCTAGGCTGATGCCACCGAAGGTGAAGGAATTCAGTCCGTCTGCCAATCTTCGGAACTCCTGCGAAGCAAACCATCCATGACGGATGCCTTGAATCGGTGTCATCAGAGTAATATCGCGCCATGCACTGATGAGACGAGTCAGATAACCTCTGGTTCAACAACTAGCCGACATCCCCACAGTCGATGCAACAAACTCCCGTCAGTGTGACGAGTTCACCTTGCACAGAATGCTTGCTGGAAGCCTCCTTGTCAATGTCATCCAGACCGCTGACATTTACAAAGTGGTCGACCAGATCTTGAGAAAGAACCTGTCTCGAACGAAGATTCGGCTAGCCGCTAGCAGTAGCTGCAGAGTGCAAGCCTGCCATGTGTTGCTCTGAGAAAGATCATGCAGAACAACACAAGCCTCGGTGGTGCCGTCGCCATTCTGCAACCTTGTAAATGCGGGTTCAAGCATCCAATCGCAGCATCTCTGCGAACCACGACTCGTTTAATTCGTAACATGCCACCCAGCCACCGGTCTACACAGTAACACACATAGCCACAGAGCAACACCGCGCCTCAGGGGATTCTTGCAGGAGAGGCAAGGTTGGCTACGTGCTGAAGGAAGCCAGCGGCTGAGCTTGCAACCAGCGAATAGCAACAGGGTTATGCTGTGCAGCACGAGTGCAGATCTAAGGATATTTGCATACCTGTAGCAAGCAGAAACCACCTACATGCTTGCAGCCGCATCAGACGATGTGCAGCTGTGCAGCAATGCACGTTTGAAAGAATATTGAAAATTGCACTGGTCGCACTTGTACCTCCGTCGTCAGTCGTGGCACAAAATTTGTAGAGATTCGTCCGCACATGCCGACTGGGACGCGGTTGCGAACATGCAGGCAAAGAGCGCAGACTGAGGATTTGCGCTTGATGCTCTCCACATATTCAAGCACTCGAGGTGCACATATCTCATTGTGCCTGAGCCTGGCGAGTCTTCGCAGAGCTGCGGTGAACACTGTCATGCTCTGTGAAGCACGGCACACCCCTTCGTCCGAGGAGCACAGACATGGCGAGATGAGTCCTCAGTCAGTCCAGACGAATCAGTCTCCAACATCCTTAAACTTCAGCTTTGTTGGTTCCGAACCTTGCATTCGCCTGATCGGCGAATCAGGTGCAGATTCTTCACCAGGACGCAGTCGCCCGAGAGTCGTGTATGCTTTGGGAATGTTTGTAACATACATTCCATGCCAGCCGAAAAGGTTTCCTTGACCTCCGTTCAGGTGTCTTTCGTCCCGAAGTTTGCGAAGATTCGCGTTGCGCAAGCCTTGCTTGCACAACGCTCTTCACCAAATCCGGCGGATCTTGCTCAAGTTAGCAAGCAGGACGCTTGCGAGGAGGAGAGGTTGTGTAGTGAGGTTTCAGCTATGTTTATATACCGAAAGTCGCAATCAAAACCAGCTGCTTCCATTCTCGGATCCACCGAAGCAGATGCGGCAAGTGGGCAGGCCGCCATCCAAGTCGCCAGTTCCCTGCAGCATCGTTCGACAAATTCTGCACCACGCATGGAACCCACTAGCCAGGCCTCACTGACACCAGTCCTTCCGAGCCGTGCAGCATAAATGCGCTGCCCATGGCGCTGGCTGCAACAACGTTGCCGAAGGCGGACGACGACGTAGCTGCTCCACGCAAGCCAAAGCCAGAACCTCAACACCATGATTCCAGCACACCTTTTCCGGCACCAAGATGTTGCGTTCGAACTCCAATCAAATCTGGTTGTGACGACTGGATTGGTCCATTGGTCGTATCTAAATACAGACTACCTCGAACAACGCCTTGCCATGGATCAGATACATGATGGGAAATACCACCTTTTGTCATTAAGTGCACGACTCTGCCTTGCATTTTCTGCTTGCGGGAGCTACTTCAGCGTACCATCACACATCCGAACATGTGGCAGTTGCCCCCGCACTCTGGCGCTACACGCCGAAAAACCAATAAGGCTTCTTAGGTCCTAGGCCAATCAATATGCTCAGACAGACAAAGGGAGGGAGGGAGGGAGGGAGGGAGAGGGAGACGGAGAGAGACAGAGAGAGAGAGCGAGAGAGAGAGACAGAGCGAGAGAGACAGCGACAGAGACAGAGACAGAGACAGAGAGAGAGAGCCAGAGCGGAGAGCGGAGAGCGGAGAGCGAAGAGCGGAGAGCGGAGAGCGGCGAGCGGCGAGCGGCGAGCGGCGAGCGGCGAGCGGCGAGCGGCGAGCGGCGAGCGGAGAGCGGAGAGCGGAGAGCGGAGAGCGGAGAGCGGAGAGCGGAGAGCGGGAGGGAAGGGGAAGGGGAGCGTGAGAGGGAGAGCGCACGAGAGGGAGCGGGAGAGACAGAGAGAGCCAGCCAGCCAGACAGCCAGACAGAAGACAGACAGACAGAGAGACAGAGAGACGACCGACGGACCAAAAGACCGATAGTGAGACCGACAGACCGACCGACCGACAGACGGAGACGAGGAGGCAAGGGTGCCAGAACCGAGAATCTTGAGGCACTGCGAAGCACTTTGTCGATTTCCACATGAAAAACTAATTTGCTGAAGCCAGTCCACGAGCAAGCACCACCCTGCACTTCGAAGGAAAGCGCGGTTTGAAGCCAAGGCTGCAGATGCTCCCCTTGTCCTGAATTTCACAGCAGCGGCTCGAGCAAATGAAACGAAGGGAGAAAGCATATACAAGGAGGAGCTCGTAGCAAATGTTGCAATACCTTGTGTATCATACTGTGCATCATATGTTGGCACATAGGTTTGTAATCTGTATTGAAATATCTAATGTGTATGATGATTTGTAATAAGTTTGGTATTAGCTTGTGTGCTGCTTATTAGATTCGACTATGTTCTAACATATTATGACTGTACTGCTGTTGTAACAAAATACTGTATTAAAACATCCTACCACAGAGTATTACATACTCAACCACACCACAACATACCATAACATACTTTGACATATTACGACATACTATCACATAGTATAACATAGTGTAACATACTATAACATACTATAACATACTACAACAAACTACAACACACTACAACATAATACAGAGTATCAAAAAGGTAACGAAACATAATAGAACAGAATGTTATAGCATACCATAAACTATAAACTATAGAAACATAGTATCACGCACATGATTTGCATAACACATTAAAACACAATGAAAAGCATGAAAATACTGAAACGTTATGTTAAATATACTACACTATGTCACGCAACCTCATACTGTGTAGTATTGCAGTATGTCATCTCATACTATATTGTATCCCATGGTATTGTGTCATAAAAAAATTTGTGAAATTATACAGGTTGAACCCAACATGAGCTAATACAAAACCTATATGATCAAAAATGTATATAAATACGTATGTTTATAGGTACATACATGTATATATAATATATATATATATATATATATATATATATATATATATATTCTAGCCGCCCCCGCCCCCTATTGACCAACCCTGGCTGTCATTGTTTGCATTTCTTCTGTCACATGAAGTCTGCGAAGCACAGTCTCCTTGAAAAAACTTGCATGGTGCAGTACCTTCGCAGTAGCCTGTACAACAAGTATTTTTCTTCTTCTGAGAGCTCTTCCCCTCTCGACGTGACTTTGTATACCAAGCCACGATAGCATTCGACTCTTTATCATACTCTATCACCTCAGGATGCTTGCTCTCCGATAGGAGGGCTATACGACAGAAGAGCAGTGATCAAGTAGACAGTCTTCCGAAGAAAACGGTTGGCCCATCAGCACTGGATGATCCACTGGCGCGGACGGAGAGAGGGTGTCATTCAGCGTGCATCCCACCAAGAACGAGATGATCCGCGAGCGGAATTCCGGCGAGAGAATCAACCACGACATTGCGTTTATTAGGTAAGGAGGAAAGCGCAAAGTGGTCACAGCAGCCCATAACACTGCGGTCAACATGAAGACCTTGTGTGTGAGAGTACGTACAGCATGCTGTCACATTCTCTTTTGCATTACCGCTCACAACATCTCTCTTGCGCCTTCTCTCGAACTCTTATATTTGCATGGGCGCATCCGGTGGAATATACGTGTAGCATCAAGAACATGAAGCATTGTTTTCCTGTGACGCGAGCACCCGCCTGATGCGAGACAAAACGTGACATTGCATTGCCACGTTGTGATCACTTTCACTGCGACAGAAGAGCCTGGATCATAAAGCCACTATGCAGAACGGATCTTACGGGTTAGAATGGGATTGCCAAGCTTATACCGGAGATACTCCTTCACTCAGATGGCGCCAACATCTGTCGATGACTTGCGTGCCGGATTACACCTTCAACTTCTTGCCATCCGGTAAGGTGACATGATGAACCTTCGTGTAATGGAGCTTCTCCCAGACCACCTGCCGCAACACGACATGTATCAGTTTCGTGTATAGGAACCAGATCTAACCTGACCCCTCTACAACGCCTTGCAACGGAAGATTTCTTTATCTTCTGGTGAACGACAGTGCAGCGGATGACCTTGTCAAGCTTCATCGAATAGGCACGGGCTCCATCCGCATGAAGGATTGCATGCAAGAAGCTTCGTGGCGATGAGGCGCCAGTCGCGCTTGCGGATAGAGCCTGGGCCTGAAGCACGTGCCTTGGTGTTCTTGCGGTTTAGGCGAAACTGCCGCAGGGACTCCGGTCGGCCACCAGGCGCCCCCACTGCTCCCAGGCTACGGCTCTTCTGTGTATCTCCATCAGTGATGAGACGTTTCCCGATCTCCACCTCATCTGCCTCGATGTCGGGCCAATTCCCATACGTGATGTGTTTTCCTGAAGCACAACGTATCGGGCCCGTGCGGTTTCCAAGTTTCCGTAGATGCGTGCGACGGTTTCGTCGTCGACCTTCAGACGGAGATGTGTGCTTGACTTGACTGGGGGTGCCGATTGTGCCGGCCTGCATATTCAGATCGATGCCCTTGCCCTTCGCGTGGTAGAAAATGGGATGAAAGCTGTGCGGCCAGCCGCGCTTCATGCGGGACTTGTTGGCGCAGCGGAAGACGTGGCCTTGTCAGTGCTCGAAATTGTGGAGAGAGCCAATGCTTGCGGAACAAAAAGCATGTAGAAGGCTTCTGCAAAATACGTCTTTGGTAATGAAACGAATGAGTGCCAATGAGTTTTTGTCAAGGAACATCTGCAGACAGCGGACCCATTTAGCCGAATCCATTCTGATCTTCTGGCTTGGAAGTTGGTGCAAACACCACAGAGACTATGTCCTGAACCAGATCAACCAAAAGAATCTGGTAGACTATGGTCCAGAACAGAGGCCTACTATTGTTGTTTTTTTGTTGGGTCTTGTGCAGGTTGTTTGTTTTTTGGTTCAGCACATAGTATCCCAAACTGCTGCGTTGTTTTGTTGTTTGTTTTTGTTTATTGTGTGTGTTTGTGCTTCTTGTTTTTGTTGTGTGCGTGTGTGTTTGGTTTATGTTGGTGCGCGGGTTTCTTCTAGTTTGTGCACAAGCTTCGAAAATGTAGCGTCTGCTGTGTTAATTGCTGCTTTGAGTTTGTGATATTTAGGTCTTTTCCAGGTATGGCGCTACTGATTTCGACGGTACTGTCGCCAATTTGCTTCCTCATCCACCCCTTTCCTGATAACCTAGTGGAAGTTGGTCATGGGGGGTGGCTACCACACATATACATATACATATATATATATATACATACATACATACATATATATATGTATATATAAACCATGAAATACAAGGCAGCATAGCGTAGTAGCTTAAAACAACAGCTTCAGATAATGTTAAATATAGAAAATGCTCCGTTTACTACTCCTATCACAATCAAAATCGTTAAGGGAGTATTCACCACAATATCGTTTAAATAGCTACTGGATTGAAAGGAGTTGGATACAATAACTAAACAACAGATGAACACTACCTACTTGCAGACGAAAGATTTCGATCATGTGTTCATACATTCGTCTGCTACTTTTGTTCTCTCGCTATCAGGCGAGGTTACTGAGTACCAGCATACAACATTAGACTAAAATTGGCTGGATTTTGCCACCTGGATTGGCATGTCCTTACAAGTTGCGCTTTCTTACGGTATTAGCGTTGCAGAACAACATGTCGTTGAATCTACAGTGGTGCTACATCTCATGGAATCGTAAGACAAGCTACGGCACAACCGGTCGCAGGATTTGTTAGAAATACACAAAAAAATGTGCAGCTTACAGGTTGAGAAGTGGATGCCAAATTCGCCATTGTCTATGAATAACATGGGCTTCATCACATAGCTTTCTGCACGAGTGACCACAAGATTCATGCGAGTGTGACATGGGTTCTCGGCATTTCATTGCTCAGCCTTATACAAGACAGGCATCATGTCGCAATACTCACCCGTAACAACAGTCGCCGTCATCGCCGCTGGCATTATCATCTTGGTGACAAACATCTCGAATCGGCTTTTCATGTTGCAACTAAAGCAGCATGACCGCGAGGCCACAGATTCGCTGACAAGGGCAGTGAGGGGTTTGGGTATTGGGCAAACCTCGGCTTCGGTGATTAACTCTATACTAATTCCGAACGGATGTTTCTTTGTCCCACTCCCATACCATCGAATAAAGAGCCCTATCACAGGTTAGCATTTTTCCAATATGTATGGAAGCAATTGTTGGATGGCCACTTGATGTCCAATAACGGATATGTCAGTATGCCTTGTGCCAAGTTTAACAAACATGTGAGACAGCTATTTCGTGTGTAGCATGTGTTCATTGCTTCGTGCTTGCACTTTAGTTGAACATTGTTTCACTCGTATAGGCTTAAGGCTTTGACTGTTACCCAAACATTGCACAATACACTTTAAATCAGAATCAAACTGTACGCCAACTTTTGTGTACCGCATGTTTAGTTAGCTGATATTTACTCTGTGATTCGTCCTTACTTAGGTTAAGTTGACACATATTCTCCTTCTGCATAGTACGATAATGTGGAGCCAGCTCATACACATGCTGTTGACGTTATGTACAGTATGTGTCATGATAGGAGTTCGGCACATGTTCGCATTTGTTATTTTCTCCTGCTCAATGGAACTTTGCTTTCTAATGTCTAAGTGGTGATCATATACTTTTTCAACGACTACGTCTTTTGATTTTCTGCGTGGTATTATCACTGCGCTAACCTTTACTAAACCACCCGTTGGAATGTGACATCAATAGTGGCACATCAGTTGGATTCTATGCTGCTTTCTACTTGCATCTCCACCGGCAGATACATGGTGTTCAAGGTGGGTTAGGTCCAACTCCGTCTGAATTACCCGGGGTGCATGGTCGTGGTCCACGTCCACGCTGCCTAGGAGCCTCAGTGGACTGAAGGTCCTCCGCAATGTCGAAGTCAGGGATCTCGACGGACCCCATGGAAGCGGCGTTGGTTTTGAAATACGAGCTGGGCTTGACGGACTTGGCCTGAGGCTGGGGTCTGCTGCTGCATGAGAAAACTGAGCGATCAGAGGCATGCTTGAGCTCTTTTTCCCAGAAGATTGGGAATGGGTCCAAACCGTGCCTTCCTTCCCCGAGGTTGTCCAGTGTGTGCCTTCAAGAGCTGCCTCCGCCTGAGAGGATGTGCCAGCCTTCTGTCGAGGCTCGTATGCGGGATCTCCACGACACCTTGCTTTGCTCTTCTCCACGCGCTTCCGCACACCCGTGCCACCAACTCGATAAGAAACAGCTGGCGGAGCCTGGATGGACAAGATCTCCTGCGGGAAAGGTGTAGCCTTATTCTCAGAAGCTTTTGCAGGCAGAAGCAAATCCATGTGTGTGCATGGGTTACCTGACAGCCATGTTGCCAGGACTCTGTTTGTCGCCGTGCTGTGGCATGTTTTACATAGAAAACCCGTGAGTTCAGGTATTACTATCACGCGACAATCAAACACTCGAGTGAAAGCACGAACTTCGAGCTGTCCCCCATAGGTCCCCTCGGCCTCAATCTGAGTGAGATATTCTTGCCATGATGCTTGCGCTCCAGAAAGGCCCTTGCCGTCGTAATCGGCCTCGTAGAGCTCACTATGGCGACGGAGATGCTCAACTAATCTCGCTCTCATCTCGCGCGTCGTCATGTTTATGGGATTTTTCTGATGTTTGGTCACCCAACGGAGACCCTCACAAAGTGTATGGAAGAGACAGTTTCCATCACGAGGTTGCGGGCAAAGCTTCAAACAGTCAGGAATCGATCGTTCCTTCTCTTCCACCTTGGTGCGTTTGCCGGCTGTGAACTCCTTCTGGTTGTCGTCAATCTCCGTCACCATGTTTAATACCAGATTGAGCAATTATGTGACTGGTTGACTTTGCTGTTTCGTGGTAGAATGTGTTTATTGCTGAATGTTTACATATCATTTGAACTCAAGTTTCACTCTCATGTTTCACTCGTATACGCTTGACACTTTGAGTGTAACCAAACAATTACGCGGTATACTTTAAATCAGAATCAGACTGCACAGCAACGTAGTTGGTACATGAACTATGTTTAGTCACTACTTAGATTAGTTTCACGAACTGTTTACTTGTGAATAGTTCATCAATATTGAAGCAAACTCATACACGCGCCGTTGACGTTATGCATTGTATGTGTCATGATGTGAGTTCGGCACATCTTCACATTTGCTTTTCTCCTTCTCAATAAAACTTTGCTTTCTACTATCTAAGCAATGAGCAACACTTGTTCAACTAATACGTCCTTTTTGATTTTGTTATCTGGTGGCATTACTGCATTACTCAACCGACCTAATCTTTAGCTACACGCTACCCTGTCTGCATATTCACTGGCTAGCAGGCTAGCAACTTCCAAAGAGCGTGGCAATGGTCTGCATATTGGTGTTGATTACCTACCGTATGAGACCTACACCAAGTACATATGAAGTACATATGATTGCACGCAATTCTTAACTAGACAATGCCATGACGGAAGCAGATCAGTTGGATATTGAGTGTTAATCAGTACTTGAACATGGCGTGAGTGTTTGATTAAGAAAACTCCTCAACGCTCGCACAACTACGAGAAGCCTAAACAAATGTATCATAATGCATTATTCTACTCCGGGGATAAAAGCTAATGCAGCTAATGACCACCGGCTGGGCGAAACCGTTGCGAATATACACAAACCATAATCACCCTGCATCGTCTTGGGGCTTCAGCTTTTGAAAAACATCTCCCTAGAGTCTCTAGTTAAATCCTTTTTGAGAAAAACATCTTTGGAACAAAAGGACAGAAATGCATCCCCCTTTTGATTTGCATTACATCGACGTGCCTGACGCAAGACCCCTAGGTACGCGCGCGGGACGCATGCGCATCCACAGACTGCATTGTTCCTGCAAAATCAAAAAATAAAAAGAAAAAATCACCATTTTGGCGGAGATGCCTTTGAATTTTTGGCGTTTGTATATTGAGATTTTAGTTTTTTCATCTTTTTGATATGAAACAGAACCTACAAATTTCAACAATTAATTCAATAATACAAAACTCCAAAAATCCAAAACTCAAAAATTAAAACGAAATGGCTCTGGCATTTCCACGAAAATGTTGGAGATTTGGTTTGTGCGGGAATGGTGCCTGTTGGTAGAGTAGTCTTACTTCCGAAGAAACACTGGTTCGCTCTTTAGGTTAAGACACTCGAATTCACTCGAAGTGAGCAAGCTACATAATAAGAGGGAGGGGTTTGCATACAGTTGATTTTTACCAGGCCAGGTATGCGAAAGTCAGAGAGTTTCCTTCAAAACGACACAGAAATTTGGGCACATGGGGGGTACCATATATATATATATATATTAAATATGTTAATGCCTCCTGCAATGGCTGAGTACACGAAGCAGCGAAATAGGTACAATGGTCCAGTGAATTCGACCAATATATATATATATATATATACACATATATATATATGTGTGTGTGTGTGTACGCACGTGAAAATCTACACTGTTTTACTGCAATCGTGATGAATACCATGTACTACATCTAAATCTAATTTCATCTACATATACATACACATAAACATGTACGTATAAATATACGTATACCTATACTACTTATACGTTTGCATACACCTCTACATCTACATCTGCATATGCACATATTGAAGACAACATATGCATATACATTTACATGTACATAACCTTACACTCATGCTTATACCTATGCATGTACATATACTTATACAGAACGCGTCATACACATAAACATATGCTTGAACACATACATGTACATAGCGATCTACATATACATATACCTATACATATACACATGCATTCCAAAAATGTGTGTGTGTGTGTATATATATATATATATATATATATATATATATGTGCAGTATATATAATAATATGGTCCCGGTTCGGTTCGGCCGTTCCCCCTCCTCTCCCCCTCATGGTTGGTACCCCCTCACTCCCTGCTTTGTGGCTCTTCCGCCCGTGTGTACGAGGTGTGGTTGTCCCGCCCCCCTGTCGTTTTCCCGCCCTTCCTGCAGGTGTGGTGCGGTGTGTTCGGATTTGTGTCTGCCTGGAGTGGCTGCCCTCCCCCTGTGGTGTGGTGTGGTTCGCGGATTGGGTGCCCCTAGGGTTTTGGCATAGTCATCATCATCATCATCATGCGGTTCGGGATTTGGATCTGTAGTTCGGGGTATCTATGCGTTTGCTTGGGGGGTTGGTGTCGCCACCATCATCATCGTCATCAGCATCATCATAATCATCCTCATCTGCCTTTCTTGGGTCGACTGTCACACATTCGGGGCCGTCAGGAACGGGAACCTCGTGACAGTTGCAGTGTTAATAACCTCATGTTGGAGTCTTGCTTGGAAAGCGCCCGCTGTCAGAAGGATCGGGCATGTTCGGGACGAGATCCTCGCGACATGAAGGCCCGTTTTTCTATTCACATTGGTCTTTACGTTGCCTTCTCCTCTGGCCTTTGTCGCTCATGGTTTCGTTCCCTCTTTCTTCATTCCTCGTTCCTTTGCCTTCAATAAGGTCAGAAGAACCACATCTCAACATCCTAACACAAATTAAAGCGTGTTTTTGAATGCTTGGCCATTGGGGGGGGGGGCCTCTGTTTACTTCACTCTGTGTCAGTTAGTTGGTCATCTTGGATGCCTTCATGTTTGCTTTCTGTTTTTCTGTTGAGTCGACGGCTTTGGAGCCGCCATTTGGAAGTGCGCATAGACACAGGGATTCGGCATGGTTGGAGGTGCGTGTGAGAAGGGGGTCAGCGAACCGAGAACCGGGATCATATACTTGTTTTAGGGCCTTGCATCTGCGAAGTTTCGAGAGGAGATTTCGAGTCATGGAACATGAGATGCCACGTCGAAAAATCATCCAAGATCTAATCCCGGCTTCAAGCTCTTTGAGTGTTGCGAATTGCTGCAACAACATTCCGTAGGGATTTAGTTAAGCTGTCTCAGCAACCAGGATGCCCCAGAGCTCCGGCAACGTCTCGCAAACGCACGAGAAGTACAGAAATGGCATGGCGGTGAACCTTGAACTACCCAAAGAAACAACTGACCGAACACTATATTCGAAGACATGGCTCCATATCCGATTGCTAAGGAAGCAACAGAACCATGCACAGTGAAACTGACGGGGCCAGAAGAGGTGTGTCCACGTGCCTCACCAACGCATAGGAAACATATCCAGCTGGAAGGTACAGCGCCAGCAAGGTGAAGCCACGGCAGAGAAGAGTCGCCTTCGGTGCGCACAGAAACTGGCAGCTAACAACAAGCATACAACCTCCCCGTCGTCTGAGCGCAGAACCGAAACACAAGCCAGCCACAGAAGCACGCAAAGCACGGGCACATGCAGGTTCCACTGCACCTCGAGATCGAGAGGAACAGCGCAACAAAGCACGAAGACCCCCCATGAACTTGGTTTTCAATGCTAAGGAATTCTAAGCAGCGATCCACGGCGGCCAAGTGGGGAAACTCTTTGCGCCATGTCTGGAGATTTGCAGTAGCCGCCACGCGCGAGCAGTGAAAGCTCTTCTTGCCATCGTTGTTGCAGTAAAGACCTGACAAGTCAAACAGTTTGTCGGCTCGCTGCAACCATGCAAGCCTTAAGCCTTGATTTGTTTGCATCAGAACTTGTGCAATCGTCCGGGAGGTTGCACACACACGCGCGCGCACGTTCAGTTCTCATCCTCAAAGCTTTCCGGTGAGAAGGTAGACTTGTAAACCTTGGAACATTGCAATACATGCTTAGAGTATTCGGCTTCGGTTCTTTTCGCTCCTGCCACCAATCACCTCGCTGCTGCTATGCACGAACCTCGCCATGAGGACATGCTTTGGGAATCTGTCAGGTTACACCCGACAGATCGCAGCCCTGGCACAAGTGTTCCTCACTTAGCCGATGCCCGGTTCCCGGGCAAAGCACCCTTCTGGACAACAGAAGAGGGTTACGATCGCATAACATGCGCAAACCCCAGCCCCAGCGGGGCCTACAAGAAGTAGGGCTGCTCCACGGGAGACCGTACTTCAGGGTGGCTTGGGTGGGCAAAGAGAACACTCTAAGCCGTTTTGGATCAAATGGCAGCCACAGTTCGCTTCAGCTCTGCATGCAATGAAGACTGCTCACCCAGTGCCTACCAAGCACAAAGCAGTTTTACATATTCGGCTTCGGTTCTTTTCGCTCCTGCCACCAGTCACCTCGCTACTGCTATGCACGAACCTCGCCATGAGGATAATATGCTTTGGGAATCTGTCAGGTTCCACCCGACAGATCGCAACCCTGGCACACGTGTTCCGCACTTGGCCGATGCCCTGTTCCCGGGCAAAGCACCCAAGGCACTAGTCCCAAAGCATTAAAGAAACCGTGCAAGCGCAAGCAGAGCGGCGGGTGGCAGTGCCCACACAACACGTGGGAAATGAACCGACCTTGTGGAAAAAGATTGACCGAGATGCCAGGGATCGTGCCAGCCCAATCGAGAAATCGAGTCCGCCCAGTTGGACTATGTACTCGAACCACATCTGCACATTAAGCCCAAGCAACAAAATATGCACCATGTGTGCGAAACCTTCCAAATCCTTTGATGCTGAACGACCTTTCACCAATGCCATAAGCGAAGCCAGGTTGTCGAGGTACCAAACGCCACGCCGGTTTCGAAACCGATTCGGCCGGCAGAGCAGGACATATGCAAGCATCGAAATTCATCGAAATTTCCAGTTGCGCAATGTGGACCTCTGCCGGCTGCCAAACATCGTACCACCATGGCTGGATGTCTGCCACAAATCCTTCCCGGATCTGCTCGGCTCCCGAGAACCAGACCACGAGGAAGCCACGGCACCTCCGGTGGCTGGCTGCTCGGCGGCGTCGGAGGCGGCGACGAAGCGTTCGCATGGCAACGGAACGACAGGCAACTGGCGCTCGGGCCTGGCACGGATGATGGCCCGAACGTACCGAAAGTTATCGGCAAGGTCTGGTGTCAACGCTGTGCAGGCCTTGTTCTGTCTTTCCTTGATGGCCCAGAGGCTCCCGGCCCCGACTTTGCCGTAGACGCCCTGCTCGAAGAAGTTGAGAATGCCATACATTTTGGAAGCCTGGCCCGGATGCAAAGAGGAACTGGGTTCGGCTTCGGAGAGCACGTCCTCGATCTTGGAGACAATGCGGGGCCTGAGCCAAAAGCGAACCACACCCTTGGACAAGGCTTGCGACATATCATGGGAAAGGCCCAAGAAGTCGCCGGTGGTCGCCATTGGTTGCCTCTTGTGCTCGGTAAACGGAGTGCCCAACGTCTTGTTCAGCTGGACAAAGGCCCATTGCCCTCGAGATGAATTCCAATCGCCGACGTTGGCATCGTCGAAGTAGAGCGCGACACCAGCGTTATATAAAGAGGCGACGTCCCAGGGCTTCAACCAGCCTAGAATAGCGATTGAAGGACGTGACTGCCCAAGGAAGGCCGAACAACAGCCCGGCGTGTAGCTGGAATGCCGGCTCCTGCCACTCGTGATGCCAAAAACAGACTACGCACACACGTGCCTCGTCTGGCCCCATGGGTGACTGGCGGTAGGCGTTGGGCCAGTCCTCTCCGCCCGTTTCCCAGCAGTCACTCTCCTGTGCTTCCCGCAGCTGCTCCTTCGACATCTGGCCGACGGTAGCCCTCAGCTGCTGAGCTGGATGCAGCGGGGAACAAAGCACCAGCTTGTTCGCATCCGACGACATTGCGGACTGACCTCCATCGGTGGCGTTGTCGATGATGCGGTGCTTGCCCGATCCTTGTGTGATGACGCATCGTGGGATGACCCGGAAGGGCATGCAGTGCCGCAGGACGAGTTGTGGAACCACGGAAACTCCGCATTTCAATGTCGGCACCAATCATTTAGACTACTTGTCGGGCTGCTTTGTGTTCCCATCCTTGCGACCAGATTGCTTCCCGCGTTGGGGTTCCGGTTTCAGAGTCGCTCTGCGGACCCCAAAATTGGACCAATGCACATTCATGGGAGGTTTATCATGAAGCCGGCTTAGTGTCCGGAATCTGGGCCTGCAAACTGGGCCGAAAATTGCGCACCGGCTGGATGCGCACCTGGACTACAATGCTACAGTGCAGTGAAAATGGTAATCATGGGGCCCCTGTAGCCCTAATTAGCATTGAAAAACCCAAACGAGGTGTAGGGTCCCACGTAGAGAAGGGCTGGGACCCACCGGGTCCCACCACGTCCCACCGAACCCGATTTTGGTCCCACGTAGAGAAGAGCTGGGACTCACCGAACCCGATTTGGGTCCCACCGTAAAGAAGAGCTCGGACCCACCAGGCCCCACCAAATACGTGTCGTGACACGCGCAAGGCTGGTGGTTTTGAGGGCGCGATTTTGGGTCCAGAAACTGCTCATGCTTCCGGCTTCAACATAGCGTGCCTCCATATAATGATAAGAATGCAATCAGCTTACATTCCCCTCTCTCTGTCTGGGGGAAGGACAGATTGTGCAATATGGGGCCATTTCGCAGCAAGCTACGCGCAAGCTTTTGGTCTAGTCTAGAACGTTTGGGCAGCTGCAGGGCATTGGATTGGCAAGCAAAACGTACGACTTCCTGCTTCGTTTCTGGGACCGTTTCCCGGGCAGCTTTCTTCATGCCATCAGTAGCAAGGTCACCAGTGAGAACCACAATGTCGGCACCAATCATTTAAACTACTTGTCGAGCTGCTTTGTGTTCCCATCCTTGCGACCAGATTTGCTTCCCGTGTTGGGGTTCCGGTTTCAGAGAGTCTCTCTGCATGCGGACCCCAAAATTGGACCAACGCACAGTATTATAAGAATGCAATCAGCTGACATGTCCCTCTCTCTGTCTGGGGGAAGGACAAATTGTGCAATGTAGGGCCATGTCGCAGCAAGCTACGCGCAAGCTTTTGGTCTAGTCTAGAACGTTTGGGCAGCTGCAGAGCATTGGATTGGCAAGCAAAACGTACGACTTCCGGCCTCGTTTCTGGGACCGTTTTCCGGGCAGCTTTCTTAATGCCAGCAGTAGCAAAGTCACCAGTTTATGGGCCGTGTGCCGCAGGCCGAGTTGTGGAACCACGGAAACTCCGAATTTTGGGAACCACAATGTCGGCACCAATCATTTAGACTACTTGTCGGGCTCCTTTGTGTTCCCATCCTTGCGACCAGATTTGCTTCCCGTGTTGGGGTTCCGGTTTCAGAGAGTCTCTCTGCGGACCCCCAATGCACAGTATTATAAGAATGCAATCACAGCTTACATGCCCCTAGGCGCTCTCTGTCTGGGGGAAGGACAAATTGTGCAATGTAGGGCCATGTCGCAGCAAGCTACGCGCAAGCTTTTGGTCTAGTCTAGAACGTTTGGGCAGCTGCAGAGCCTTGGATTGGCAAGCAAAACGTACGACTTCCGGCCTCGTTTCTGGGACCGTTTTCCGGGCAACTTTCTTAATGCCAGCAGTAGCAAAGTCACCAGTTTATGGGCCGTGTGCCGCAGGCCGAGTTGTGGAACCACGGAAACTCCGAATTTTGGGAACCACAATGTCGGCACCAATCATTTAGACTACTTGTCGGGCTCCTTTGTGTACCAGATTTGCTTCCCGTGTTGGGGTTCCGGTTTCAGAGAGTCTCTCTGCGGACCCCCAATGCACAGTATTATAAGAATGCAATCACAGCTTACATGCCCCTAGGCTCTCTCTGTCTGGGGGAAGGACAAATTGTGCAATGTGGGCCATGTCGTAGCAAGCTACGTGCAAGCTTTGGTCTAGTCTAGAACGTTTGGGCAGCTGCAGGGCAGTGGATTGGCAAGCAAAACGTACGACTTCCGGCCTCGTTTCTGGGACCGTTTCCCGGGCAGCTTTCTTCACCAGTTTATGGGCCGTGCCGCGGGCCGAGTTCCCATCCTTGCGACCAGATTTGCTTCCCGCGCTGGGGTTCCGGTTTCAGAGTCGCTCTGCGGACCCCAAAATTGGACCAATGCACGTTCATGGGAGGTTTATCATGAAGCTGGCTTGGTGTCCGGAATCTGGGCCTGCAAACTGGGCCGAAAACCTTCACAAAAAGCTGCTTAACGGGCTTAACGGTCGACGTTGGTTTTGCCCGGCTCCCTTTCAATGATTGCACACACCGGCTGGACGCGCACCTGGACTACAATGCTACAGTGCAGTGACAACGGTAATCATGCATGGGGTCTCCCCTCACCCTAATTAGCATTGTAAAACCCAAACGGGGTGTAGGGTCCCACGTAGAGAAGGGCTGGGACCCATCGGGTCCCACCACGCCCCACCGAACCCGATTTGGGTCCCACGTAAAAAACGTCCCACCGAACCCGATTTGGGTCCCACCGTAGAGAAGAGCTTGGACCCACCAAATACGTGTCGTGACAGCCGTGGTGGTTTTGAGAGCGCGATTTTGGGTCCAGAAACTGCTCATGCTTCCGGCTTCAACACAGCGTGCCTCCATAGTAAGTTGAGGGCTCGAGAGATTCCACGCGTCTTCTTCGAGGATGGTCGCTCCGCACCGGCCCCTCTCAGGTCCGGGCGGACCCGGAAGGCCTGCCCAGCTTGTCAGGAGCCGACGCAGAGAG